GTAATCCTTCCAGCGGTTTTTGTGAAATCTTGTTGTCAATCAAACCAACATCACCTCCTTGGCGTAGGTGACAATAATGAAATGAATTTGTTGAAGAGTAGACCGGTTGTTCTGTGACATAAAAAACAGTCATATCAGAATGGTGAAATGAAACAGCAATGACAAAAACACGTTTAAACATTTCATATAGTTGAAGTGAATCATAAACGGTGTTCTAGTGATCCTCATCTGAACAGTTAATGCTTTCTTCTCTACAGCTCCTGATGGGAAACTCTACGATGGCTATGTGAGCTTCCTCCGTCCCAGCACCCTGAGCTCATCTGAGATGGCGAACTTTGCCCTGCAGATCCTTCCCGAGGAGCTGGAGAAGAAACATGGCTACTCCCTGTACATCAGAGGACGAGACGACTGCCCTGGAGAGGGTCAGGTTACTTATTTATTGTTTGCAGGATAAAAAAACCAAAAAACAACCTGCAGAGATAACGTCACATTTCCTGTCTTTGATCTTTTACAGCCTCGCATGATACCATCGCTGCTACTCTCCACCAGTGCCGCAGACTGATCATCATACTATCACCTGATGCAAAATCCCCCGATGATAGCAAAACAGAGGAAATGTCACCATTATGCGACGAACAAAACCAGCTGTGCTATGAACAGAAAATCGGCATTTACGACGCTTTGACGCAGAATGAAGCCCGAGTGATTCTGGTGGAAATCGGTGAGATGCCTCCGCTGTGCCCAGTCAGAGCGAAAGTCTTTGTGTTTTATTAGCGTGGTGATTTTTAACACAAAATTCTGTTCGCTTCTACCAGGTGGCCCAGTGGATTACAGTCGCCTGCCGGAGTCTCTTCACTACATCAAGAGGAAACAAGGAGCTCTGAAGTGGAAGAACGCCTCAAATGGAACCCACAGTCTCAGCAAGCTGCACTCAAACAGAAGGTTCTGGAAGAATCTGAGGTACCACATGCCCTCAGTGCCCGCAGGAGAACACCAGACAATGAATTAACCCAAGTGGAAAACTTTCATTCGCCCTCGTATTTCTGTGAACGATGACTCCTCTCTTGCTCGTTGGCCGACGACACAAGAAATTCCACTGTGTGTACAGCTGAATTTTGCCACAGTACAAATAAGTGTAAACGACTGTGCCAGCACTGTGAGACGGACGACATGCTGCACTGTGTTTGTGAATGGGTGGTTTTTTACTCGTGACGTTATTTAACTCTTATCCTTGTGCTCTTCAGGTCATAAAACACAATGGCTACCAGTTCATCTACTCATTTAGAATGTGAGCCTGTTCATGCATCGGTATGTTTTTTATATTTAAGATATTCTGGTTTTGTTTTTGCAGCTGTCACTATTTGATTTTACTATTTTCCTTTGTCTTTAGAGAAAAACCTTTCAAGAGCAGCTCAACTCGGTTTTCACTGATTAGATAACTATTGTATCAACTGGTCAGATAATCAGAATGAAATGAGAGTCAGCTTTGCCTCTGGAGCCAGTGATGAGGCCCAGTCGTCATGGCAGCTCCACATTGAGGAGAGAAATACAGTTTTAACCTCTGCAATGTTCTTCAGCACATTCTCAGCTGCCTCTTTTTCCTTTTACTACAACAGAAAACGTGTTGTGTAAGATTTAGCCTCCTTGGTGTTCTCTTGTTCTGAATGTGAGTGATGATTAAACATGTTAATTTATCAGGCCATTTCCACTGAGTTCAGTCTGATTCTGAAGCTGAAGAACTGATGTTGAAATATGTTATTTAATAAAGATTTTAAAAAACGCTGATAAGGTGCCACATTTCCTGTTATATGGAAAATGAACCTTGCAATTGGTGAGATGTACGAGGGGATTTCCTTCATGTGGTTATTTAAGATTATCAAAGGTCACAGTTTTTGGTAGAAGCTCAGTTTTTGAGAGTCTGTGACACTTGATTCACCTTCGATTATGAAAACAGCCAATGCAATCATTTCAAGTCCAACTCTTAAAGGCGTTGCTGTTTTCCATCACATCAAATTCTTAGGAAGTTAAAACATTTTTCCTATTTCCTAGATCCTTCTTTCCAGCAAGTTTCACTTACCACAGGCTATTAAATCATTTCCGAATAGCCTGTGAGTAATACTGACAAACAGACAAACTCCTTTTTGGATGTAATACGGTATTACTGAAATCACTTTTTACAACTACTTGTCCGACCATAGGATAATGAGATGCTGGAAGCCTGCCTCATGTAGAGGTCAGAACATTTTGGGATTTTCCATGCTTTCTGAAAGTTGCCTTGGCCTCTTATTTGTCTCAGCTTTAAACACAAACACATCCACTGAGCACAAATCCTAGTTTTGAATTCAGGGTTTAAGAGTTTAAGACTTCCACTTTAACCACACATTCTCTGACAGGCTTCATTTGTAAGAAACATCCTTTACTTTTACTGGCAGATTCTGTTCATCTTCAACAGCCATTTCCTGTTCAGCCTTTCAGAGAAACATCTTATCTTTATTATTTTATCACGTCAGAACTTCAGATATCCTCTGCAAGTTCCACATAAATACAACCAGTGCTGTCGTATAAAGAATTACCGGTAGTTAAACTGAGCTGGCTGCCGAATATACATTTCCACAGCTACAATTTTATTGAGAAAAGTATTCAGGCAGATGACTTCAAACAGACAGTGATGTATTGTGAGGTGGTGACTGAGGCAATACCTATAATTTGCCTCTGGAGCTGGTGATGATGCCTAGTGGTCTTGCCACCTCCACATTATATGAGATAATCACTGGCAACTCACAATTACCCGGAAAAAACCTTTTTACTCACTGAACAATGACGTCTGTGTGGGTTTTTTTCGTGACTGAGTGATACAGTTTTACATTAGAGTAAAAATACCTGTGTTTTATGGAAGCACATCATCTCTGATTACTCCTGCAGTAACTGAATTTATATTCATATTTATTTATTTTAGTCATGTTCCTAACTTTACCTTTGCAAACAACTACTGCAATGTTGCATGCTTGTCTCTTTTTCTAATGTGTTGTATTTAGTCTTTTATTCTTCGCTCTATGTGCAATGCCCTTGACATGTTGCTGGAGCACAATACTTTCCTAATTCGGGATCAATAAGGTACATCTATCAATCCATCCATCTATCCATCCATCTATCTATCTATCTATCTATCCATCCATCCATCCATCCATCTATCCATCCATCCATCCATCCATCTATCTATCTATCCATCCATCCATGAAGCCCAACAGTCATCACCAGGTTATCCACACTCAGTCATTTATTTTTATTTTTATCAAGAACAATGAATAATTCTGTGGAAAAACATAAATGCTTTCTTCCTAGACCCACATTAATCCTCTGTCGAAAGGATGACTGCATGGATTCCAGGAAACTTCTTACCCTCAAAGAGTTAATGAAGGATCGGTGGATGGTGGAACTCCCTGTAATCAAATGTAGGTGGGGGTATAACTTGATTTCCTTGTGCTCATGTGGAGCAGATGCTCTGTTCAGTGGGCACTCAGTCAGACGACACTCAGAGGAGAAGAACCCAGATGACTGAATCCACGCCAGCTTCCTGCACTTTGAAGTAAGCAAATGTTTTTATTGTAGTGTTGCAGGATTATTTCAAATAGTCTTTACTGTATTTTATTTTATTTAAAGTCTGTATAGTGCCAATTAAGGAGGTACCTGAGTAACAAAAAGCTTCTGTGACTCACTAACTGTACAACTGAACTTCTGTTCACTATATTTTCAATCATTTAGACAATTATTAGAGCAAATATTTGCATTGTTGTCAGTGCGATGTTATATTAAAGTGACACCACAGTTTATTTATTCATTTATTTATCGCTTGATGCCATAACAGCCCTGAGACTGTGTGAGATGAGCTTTGGTTAATATGGTTTGTCGTGTAAATGATCTGTGAGTATTTATGTGTATTTATATACTGATATATAATGGTTGAACTGACAGTGTGTAATGTCAAACTGCTTGTTGTACTGAAATACACAATACTTCTCTCACTGAATTCACTATCACACCATGTAAGTGGTGGATGCGTAAGAAAACTACTTATCAACACCAACTGTATTTCACTAATTGTCACCAGTGTTTCTGTACAAACCCGAAGCTGTATTTTTATCACCCGGGAAAGCAACTGGTTGTTTTTTTTAAACTATGTTTGAAAAGAGTAAATGCATCTTCAGAGATTGACACCTGCTGCTAATGTTGCAGAGGAAATGTGTTAAGCATCAGTGAGCAACTCGCTGTGTAAAAGATAAGATCCCTTCTCTCCTGTGCAGATGCAATTTTCGAGCATAATATTTTCTGCCACGTATTTGTGTCTGTGGTAACTGACTTATTTCACATTTGGCTTTCTGAAGTGATGATGTGATAAGCGCTTTCCTGTTGTTGGACATTTAGCAGGTAATCTATTTTTAAGTGTGGGTTCCTCTGTGAGAGTGTGGCCGTGTATCTTGGTTGAAGGGAAGAGCAGAGCTGCAGATTGATCACCAGGTGATGGTGAGTTGGTTCAGATGGAGGGGGCAGATCTGGCCAACACATCCGTGCATTGAGGAGGAAACTGTTCACATTTGATCAGAAGGTTATCGGTGCCTGTGGCGGTGACATTCTCAAGAAGAGCATCAAGCTGAAGAGGAAAAGAAGGACACACGTTCCTTCCTGTAGCCTCAACTCCCAGATATTCACTTTGGCGGCACAGGGACGAGCAGAACCACATGAATTCTGCTTGCTCAAAAAGAAAGGTTTCTTTTATAATCTTTAGCTGTTATTTGTTTTTGTTTAATTCTTCTTTTTGGCTTTGACACATTTCAGGATTCACACCAAAACCTTTTTATGCTTTTGTTCGTCCCTGCAGTGTCAAATTTAATTTTTTTGGCATGTGGAGTGGTTCTCGTGATTTATGTCCACTCCTCAATACCCTTTGGGAGTTTCCTATTATTGTCACTCCCCCATCTCTCCCCAAGAGACAGGATCTCTATGGGGGAGAGATGGGGAGTGCTGGTTGGCCTAGAGTTGAGCCAGGGACCTGCTGTTCGGGGCTGGTGCATCCATATGGTGTGAATCCTAAACATCAGGTCACCCGTTATCTGCCAATGTCTAATTTAACCTAAAAAGTTAAGTTATGTTAATGGTCATACAAAAGGGCAACATGAAGCCATTTCATGCATAATTTGATTCGAACATTCTCTGTGAAGCTTCTGACACTTATTGCGAAACTGATCTTATCATTCTGTCGGGCTGGTGGCTTCAGGAAGCAGCGTTTTGGCTGTTTGTATATCTGCAGTATGTTGCATGTGCTTCATTAATTATCAAACACAATTCAAAATTGATTTACTCTTTCAGATAATGGATGCGACCCGACTTCTCCTCCTCATCTTTGTGGTGATGTCAACTTCTGAATGTTCAGGTAGTGTTTTCATTATGATGGTGATAAACCAAAATGTGTAAACACCTATTCTAGTTTTTATGAAATCTTTTTGGATGATTAATTTTCATCATTGTCAGTAAATCTATCATCTTTTTCTTTAGGTTCAGAGACAGCAGAGCTGCAGTGTGAGAACTTTGATGCCAACCCTATTAACCTTCTTGAAGGAGAAGCGTTATATTATCAGCATTACATTCTTCTTACGCTCAACTTCTCAGACCAAGAGCTCAACTGGTACAAAAACAGCTCCAAGATTAAATATATCTCATTTGACAAGAAAGAGAGGATACATCAGCATGATGGATGGATATTTTTCTTAAAGCCTCTGACCGAGGACTCTGGCCTCTACACTGCCCGGTAAGAAAAGACCTGCACTTTGACAACTTTACAAAACTTAAGTGATGCCATTTTCCTGACATGAACTCTGGAGGATTTGTGCAGAATTGAAATTCAGATAGTAGAATTCACATACAGTCTCTCCGGAAAATGTCCGGAGATCCTCCGGAGGTTAGAAAGCAGCTTTTGAGACTTTTACGCACATGTATCATCAACAGCACTTCAGATTCATGTTAGTTTCTGATCTTATGGGTAACAAGACAACACTCTCACCACGGATCAGGATCACAAGAGACCAATCCCATCAAAATGTTCCTGGTTAAAACAAAAACATGTGGCTGCAATAATTATACCATGTGGGGTTGCTTCTCTTCCAGGCATATAGACCAAGGAGGAATCTGCCGCAACTACAATGTCAAAGTTGAGGTCTTTAATGCGAGTGAACGAGAGAATCCCAAAATACTTTGGACATCAATCGAAAACTCCGACCAGAACATCCGGGTCCGCTGTCTATCGACTGTGACAAACACATGTACGATGTTTGGAGGAATCGTCACCTGGTACAAGGTGAGAGAATATTTCAGTAACACCTGAGGCCTGTACTGCGAAACATTTTTTGTGGTTAGACAGTAATTTAATTATTCCGCATTCATGTGCAAATAGCCGCCACACCCACAAAAATAACTGCCATTTGTATTTTGTGTGGAGAAACGTGGTTAGGAACTAGTCTGACAGTAAACACAGTGTACGTTCAATGAAAGTCTGTGTTGTATATATATATATATATATATATTCTTCTTCTCATGATAAGATGGACCCAAGAACTAATATAATCACTGTCCTGTTTTCCAGTGGGTCTTTATTATCTCTTTTTGATTGCTGCAGGACTATGTTCTTCTTCAAGGTCACCATGAAAAAGAACAGTTGGTTGAAAATGCCAGCAAACAAGATGAGGGCATCTACACGTGCATTTGTACCTGGACGCACAATGACAGGGCGTACAACACGTCGGCCTCCAAGAGGCTAATAGTTGAAGGTGAGAGAGCTTTTGTAAACCTTTAGTTGTGTGGATTGAAGGGATCTGTTGTGTAAATACACATTAACGAGTTTCTGTGGAACATTGTGTTTTACTCTCGCTTACAGAGCGTTCATCTTACCATCCAGTAGAAATCCTCTCTCCTACAGACGAGGAGCAGTTTGCAGATGAAAGTAAGACGAGCTCCCTGATTGACCATGTTATTATTTATTAAGATATTAGTGTTGCTTTTTAGTGAGAATTCTGTGAATGGAGTTGTATTTCAAAGAATGGTGGTACTCTCCTAATTACATATAGTAATAAATGTATGAAATGTGTTTTATTCTTTCTACCAGGCTCGGAGATCAAGTTGGAATGTAAAGTTTTCTGTGGGATCAATATCAATGTCAATGATTGTGATGCTAGCTGGCATATTGGAGACATTGAGAGGGATGGATACAACCAAACCATCCAACGGTAATCGTGATTTAAATTATGATATACGACTGTCTCACTAAAGATTTACCTCAGCAGTTAGTGCTACAACTGTAGAGTCCGACCAAGACATGTACAGGACATAGACAGGATGAGACGCCGTTTCTCTCCGATCCCCGGTGTAAATATATTTGTATACAGATCATACAAGTACCGAAAAACAACAGAACATTGACAGTATGCAACATAATATGTATATACGGCCTCCCCGAAACCTCAAAGACCGCCTCCTCGAGGGCCGTGCAGACCGCGAAGGCTGAACTGACATGAGACGGTCTGGTTTTCCGTGATTGGAGCAACCAGCTCATCCGGCCCTTAGTTCTGAAGTTAGACACGACAAGAAAGTGTAAATGCCCCTTTTTTTTTATCCTAATGAATCCTGGGATAGGTGAGGCCGGGATGGATCTGCCTTTCTTTTCTTGGGGATGAAAGGATTCATTTGTCAGCTGAATTGAATTTTAGATTTTGTGTATTTCTCTTCAGTCTGTTGTTTCCTGTTCTTTAATGAGCCGAACTCTGTGTCCTCTGTCAGAACCAAGGAGAATCCTTCAAAGAAAGTCATCACCACGGCGATACTGACCATTGAGAAAGTGTCGGAGAAGGATTTTAGGACTAAATTCAACTGCACCGGCAAATCTATTTACACAAGCAACTCTGCCACTTTAACTCTGAAGCGGAGAGGTCAGTGACTGGAGGCTATGATTCGAACCCTTCGATGATAAAAAAATTGCAGTTTCACACATTTAACTAACTTTATGGAACTTGTGTTTGTTTTTCCAGAGTCGAAAACTCAGATGGTCATGACAGCCTTGTGTGTGTTGTTCGCCTGTTTGTTTGCGGCTGTGCTGGTGAAGTGCTTTGCTGTGGACCTCGTGCTCTTGTTCAGACCCTGCCTCCGTCTGTGGAGTCACAAGAAAGGTACGGAGAGGATCTGTACCCCCGTCTGTTTGTTTGTCTGTCGGCAGAATCACGCAAAAAAAACGCCTGAACGGAATTTCAGGCAACTTTGTGGAAGGATGGGAGATGGTCCAAGAACAATCCCGTCAGGGGCGGATCCAGGGGTTATCTTTTTTCATCAACTTCATCACATTATAAACAGAGCATTTTTTTCTTTGCATTTTCACAGGGATGAATTTGCGCATGTTTATTTTAGTGGACTGATATTTACTTGTTAGGGAGTTATAAAATAAGATAAAGCCCTTATTAATCCCTTTATAAATCTTTTATGAATTATTAAAGTATCAAAAATAGAGTGGACAGATTTTGACCCAAGATAGTGGAAGAATAAAAGCAATAAAAGTCAGGACAAACAAGTGTTGGTGTGGATCCAGGGCTTCACAACGACCAGATGGGAACCTTTAAATTATATCAATATTATGAACTTTGCCTGTAAACCATCAGATCCAATTATTATAAAGAAGGGTTTTTTGTTTATAGAACGCACATTACTCACATCACATTGATAAACTTTTACTCCAGATGTGGTCGAGCTGCATGATCTCAGAAGAAATTAAATGCTACAGAAATGGACAAAAGGAAAAGTCGTGACCGAACAAACAACTTTTCTGTGAATTTCTTTGCATTTAACAGATGTGAGGCTGTACGACGCCTACGTGGTCTACCAGACGCAGAGTGCGGAGAAGGTCACCGAGAGCACACTCTGTTGGTTCCTCACACAGGTTCTACCCTCCGTCCTGGAGGAAAAGTGTGGATATCGACTCTTCATCCACGGGAGGGATGACATGCCTGGAGAAGGTCGGAATTTGATTTCCTATTATTTTTGTGTTTTAGTTTTGGATGCACATGACATTTGTTCCGGGAATCTGTGGGAAAACTTGAATAAAACCACCTGAACGCCGTTCGTGAAATCCCGTTCCAGTGGTTCCTGGATGGAACTTGGTAGGTAATTGGAAAAACATTTTCCAAGTACCCTGGAACAATGAGTCAATTCCAAACTTAGCTTCCAACCACTAGCAGTTATTGGTACATTCATAATATTCCATAACTTGTCGGTTTTTCCTCTTCTCTCTCATCTTCCTCTCTTTCCGTTTCTTCCTCTCTTCTCTTTCTGCTTTGGTCTCTGTGTTATTTTATTTAGCTCTAACCTTTCACACTTTGTCTGGTACATTTTTACACGTTAAAATCCATTTTTTTTCATCTTTTAGGTGTTTATATACTTTTATTGTCGTTAAAAGTTTTTTTTCAAGCCTGAAGAAGCATTTTTCATGTCTCTGCGTGAACTTGTTTTTGTGACCTCTCAGACCACGTGAAGCAGGTGGAGAGCAGCGTGAAGCAGAGCAGGAGACTGATGGTGATCCTCAACCCGGGTTCAGGATTAGAATCCGAAACCAGTTACCAACATCCGGACTCCCTCCATAATTCAGTGATAGGAGGGTTTGACTGGCAGGTAGGAGTCTGCTTCTACTGTTATTTTTGCAGCAACTATCATTAATATTGTGCTTTTATTTCTATTTTTCCTATTTATTATATATTAGTGTTTATTCCATATGCTATACTCTCTTTTACTTGTTTGATATTTGCCTCAAGTTGTGACCAAGAGTTAACATTGTTTGAAAATAGTATAAACAATTGTCTAGAGATGATTATTAAATAAAAGAAGAAACAATATTAATTGAAACTATGAGACGATTAAGATTAAATCATCACAGAGCAGTTACTTAATTTCACATGGTGAAGTTGTATTTGAAGAAAATAAGGAGACATTCTTATATTTTATGTTACTGAGCCAAAAGGTTACTTCTCTATCTGAACTTTCACTCCCCCTGTCGTACAGACAAATAACATCTGTGATTTTCCAGGTTGTGTTCCACCATGCTCTGGTCCAGAGGGACATGAGTGTGATTCTGATCCAGCTCGGAGACACTGGGCCGCAGGGATACACACAACTCCCCATTGCCCTGCAGCATTTGATTCGAAAGAGCGCCCCCTTGAGGTGGCCAGAGGGCTCGCGGGATGCTGCTTCACGTAACTCACGGTTCTGGAAGAAAGTTCGATACCTGATGCCGGCCACACCTGCAAAGAGGTGTCAACAGTCTGCTCTCATTTGAGATAAAGAAGACAATCTAAGCTCCACCCCTTTGGTTTATGATGACGGAGGGCGTAAATCAAATTGAAGATAAACAAAAACAATGTGATTATTTTAAAGAAGAAGTCTGACGTGTTGAGAGAACAGATTTTCAGTTTCTTGACGATTTTTGTTTTTTGTCTGTTTCAAATGCATCAAAAAAAACATTTTTTTCATTGTCATCGATGTTAAGAAATGTTGTTTTTTGTTGTTTTTCTATGACTTTTTAATTATATTTGACCTTTTAGAATATTCATATAAGTGTTGTGACAGCGTTTGTCCACAGAGACAGTTCATTTTTATTGTCCTGTTAACAGAACTTGACCTGGGCATTAAATTCTTTCAAATGTTAACTGTATTATATAGAGATATTTTGATAAAAAGATACCGATGTACAAATTTATTTTTATTTCACAAATATGGTTTCTGTTCAAGTGCTATTATATATATTAATTTGTTATTTGATGCTGTGGGAACATCATGATTGACAGCATATCAGCATGAGCTCCACACCGCAGCTTCACTTGCTCAGGACATTTTTGGTTTTATCTTTGTACAGCGTGAAGAAGAGAAACCACAACACACACAAAGTAGAGACGTATCTTTATTTACAGTCTGTGGGAGTGTCGAACAAAGTTGCCCCTGAGTGTGTATTTCAGACGGAGTGTTAGAATCACAAAATAAACAGATAAATTCACTTCTCATGCGCTTCTGTGTTGTTTTCATGTACATGCAGATATTGCAGCCCTCGCTGAGTTTGACCATATATCAGAATTTCTGCTGATTATTCTGTGTTTCACTCCACAAGATGTTTCCATCACACCTGTACAAGATAGATGCGTGAGAGAAGACCTGTGGCAGTTAAATGCATGTACCTGTCACATGAGGACATAAAGTGACTGAAACTGAATAAAGCTCCATATTTAAAAAATCATTAAATCCGTGGTTGTATCAACGCATGAAAGACTCATTCTATGTAGTATAAGAAGAGGTGTTAGAAGGTGCTGTTCTGTCGAGCCAGGATATAATCCAGTTTCCTTTTGCTTTTGGGTTTGAAGAGGACGTAGAGGAAAACAGAAACCACACAGAGGAAGCAGGACATGGCCACTGCAGCGACCACCAGCCATGTGAATGTGGAGTCTGCAAAGAGGGAGATGAAGGTAAATGAAGGTTTTTGAGATACAGCAGAGTATTTATACACAGTACAGGAGGGTACAGTACACAACTTACCCTCCAGATGAAGCCTGGCCACCACTTCCTGTCTTCCTGCCTGGTTCTGAGTGACACACTTCAGCTCCGTCTTCACGTCTTCTTCCGTTATCCCCACGACAACCAGCCTCAACTCAATCTGGCAGCCGCCTGTCACCTTGGTTACCCTGGAGACATTGAGACAGAGAGGAAGTTTAATACTATATGTGAGAACAACCCATCACTTGTGGAAAATCTGCGCACAAAAACACGATAGGATCCAAAATATTTCCTTGATACAGCAAGTGAACAGTATCTGAGTATTTGTATTTACTGTATTTTGGGTATTTATTCTGGGAATATTATTAAATTAAGTCAAACTTAGTTTAGTTTGCAAACATATTTAACATGTTATCAATGGCACAAAATAGTCCCATAAATCATGCAGAGAATAAAAAATAATATTGTGTATCATGGCTGCAGCAGCACCATGCAAACACCCCCCAACACTGACCTCCTCCCCCCCTGCATCGCCCGCTCATCCAGGTACGATGAATCCACCGATTGGCTGTTGACGAGCCACTTGACCTCGGTGGAATCCGCCTGGTGACATCCGGTGAGCACTGTGCACCACAGCTCCAGACCTGAACCTGCAGGAGGCCACGGGTGAACTGATGTTAAAGCCTCTGTTGAATCTAATTCAAAGCATTTTGAAGATAAAAAGGTTTCTCACCATGTGGACTTTCAAAAATACTTCCGTTCAACGGCGAGACAATCACAGGTGGCGAGGCTAAAACATGAAGACACGTTCAAGCGTCAGGGTGAAAGATAATGAAGAGAGTAGAAACTATCTGAGAGCGTTGATCAGATGTTTCCCCACCAAAATAAAAGCACATTAAAACTCACCATGATCAGTGCTGTAGGTGCTGCTTCTCTCAGGGTCAGAGGTCACAGTGACGTCAGGTGCGGAGGTGCTGATCTCTGGGTCTGGACCTGGCACACACAAATTACACAGACACACACTTTTAGAATTATTCATGGTAATACATTTTGCCAGGTGCTGTTTTTGTGACGTTATTATCTCTAGTGTGAGTTTGAGTTGTGTGGTACGTTAGTGTATTACACCCTTTAGGCCACTAGAGGACAGCTCACTCAGGTTTATTGAACTGTGCAACTGGTTTTCATCATCTTATATGAGCTATCATGTTTTACACCGTTTATATTCTGCTCACATTCTATCTATTACTTATATTTTCTATATCTCCTGTATGGAATTTTTCCTTATTTACAACTTAAAGGTTCAGTGTGTAGAATTTTGTGATATCTAGTGTTGAAGTTGAAGGTTGCAGCTGAACACCCCTCACCTCACCCTCTCCTTCCAAACATGAGAGAGAAACTGTGGAAGCTTCAGTTGTCATAAAAACTCAAAAGGTGTTTAGTGTGTCCAGTCTGGACTAATGTAAAAAAACATGGCAGCCTCCGTAGAGACACTCCATGTAAATATAAAGTATTTAAATATAAAGTATTTAAATATAAAGGGCTTTTTCTGGGGTAAAGAATTCATACAATTTAGATGAAACAAACTAGTGAAAACATCATGACAATTATTGTACATTAAATTTATAGTTATTATAAATGTATGAATAGTTCCCTTTCACCTAAATCTTAAACACTGGACCTTTAAACGAATGTTTCTGTCTTTTCTCTGCTCTAACACAGCAAACATAGATTTGGACAAATGAGGGATTATTTTCTCTCATCTTTATATTTAAGCTGTTGTTATAAACTGGCATCATGAATAAATGTATGTACATCAATAGACGGGCGCAGCTTTTGTTGGTAATTAACTTTCTGTATATAAATGTAGGCACACAGTTATTTTTTGATTCCATCTTTAAATGGAGCAGAATTTAAATATGATTGGACACGAATCTGCAGAATTTTTCAAACATCAAGAATCATTTATTTCCAATCTGCAGTAGAAATGCTGTGACATCACTCTACCTTGCACGTGGAGCAGGACGACCCGGCTGACTTTGTACTGCTGCTGGTCGATGAGCACTTGGAGCTGACAGGTGTACATGCCCGCATGTGAGCGGCTCACTACAGGGATCCTCAGGTTGGCACTGTCCTGGCGGAGGGAGCCCGCTCTGCCCGACTGAAAAGCAGTGGAGCTGTTTTCCTGTTAGGAGATCACAGGACACGTGACTCTCAGGGAAGGAGCAAGGCACTAACAGTGAAATAGTTGAGGGTTCAATGTATTCTGGGGCCTTTTGAAGCAGCTGCTTTAAAGTGTAAGATATGAAGATGTTTGGTGCTACGCTACCAGTTTGTGTTAACAAATTCATTAACAGTTAATTTACTATACATTATTTATGTCTATATGACTTGTGTAGGTTTTTAATTCAGCTGAGCTGTAGCTCCTCTCTTCTTAGTGTCCGGCTACAGATCATCGTCATCTTATCTCTACCGTAAATAAATGTTACCGTAAACATTTTCCAGCTTCGGCTTTCTGCTGAGATATTCTATTAATGATTTAATTTAATCAATGTTGACTGATACAACATTTTTTATTGTGATATAATTTAGAGACGTATTGTTCAAAACCAGTCCAACATTTCTGTCAGTCTGTGGAACAAATGCTTGGTTTTGGACTTGACTGGACAAACTGTTTACAACAATTTAATTTAAAAAAAAGTCTTATTCTCTTAGAACAGGTATAAAACTTAATATTCAATCATTTTCAGAAGTTGATTTATATTGTAAATTGGACGACAGTAAATGATGTTTCATAACAAGCTTCTGGTTCAGAGGGGAAGACGTTTAGTCAGTTGTTGAAATCACAAATTTTTAAATGTGCACCAGGAAAAAGGCTGAAAATTAGTTTTAAACAAGTAAAATCTCAGTAATTGATCATTGGTCATTAAACTGATCAACATAAGCACTTTTTAAAGCCAGAAATGTTTTATTCTTATTATAACATTGATGTATGAAGTATTTGCCCTCTCACCTTGTACCACTCTATCAGTCTGTTTGTACTGTTGAAGTCGCTCAGCAATGGACATCTGAACGTCAGCCTCTCTCCCACCGTGGCTGAGATTGAATAAGACACTTTCTCTATGTCCACAGAGCCGGACTCGAACACTTTCAGCGTGATTTTCCCGGTGATACAGTAGGTTTCATTCCTGTTGATAAAAGTGAGGACCATAATTTTAAAGCTGCAGGTAGCAAGACGTTGTAGCAGGGGCGGATCCAGGAGCAGGGGGGGGGCAGGGGGGCTGTGGCCCTAGAGTTTTATTTCATGAGCTTTTTTTTTTTTGTGTCAAAGCAATACAGCTAAAATAAAAGACTTAATGAATCAGGAACTGTTTGAGAATGTTGGACATATAACTGTCCCCTATGTGTAAACTTTGGCCCCATTTTCTCCTTGAAACTTTGCAAGCATCAAGTTTCTTTGAGCAAAAATATTAAATCTTTACTTCTTCTAATTCATTTTTTTTTTTGGCCGGCTCTGACCTTGACTTCTCTCTGGATTGAAACAAGAGAAAACGCACAACCTTCTAAAAATCAATTTAAAATTGTGCAGTACATTTTTTTCCATCCTTCATAATCTGAAATATATCAGGAATTGAATATATCCGTTTTAAATATGATGAAATATTTAAATAGTTTCAAAATAGTTAGAATGTTTTGATTTTGATCTAATAATTAAGTTTACGTCTTCCAGAGAAATCACGAGTCGGCCTGTAAATCGTTTTTTCATTTTCACAGCAAACGGCAGTAGAGTAGAAAAAAGACTCTTCACCTGTACGTGCACATATATTCCCCTGAGTCCGACGCCTGAGCTGGGAGGAGCCACAGCTGCTTCTCACGCTGCTGGACGCGCCCGTCTCTCTCGTTGGCCACGCCCTCTGTCTCATTGTCCTTGGTGATGAGGAACCTCGCTGTCGGGAGGGCGATGTTTAGGAATCTGAGGACGCTCTTGAACACCGGGAAGGAAATGATCACAGCTTCACCCCCCACCCTGAATTGCTCCACCTCTGGAGTCACCAGTAAGCAGCCGTCTGCAGGTGAAACAAAAAAACTTTATTAACACACATAAAATAACAGATTGTCATGATAAGACATGTAATGAAGATTGATTAATTCTTTAAATATCAGATATTGACCAGCCAGTGACGTCTGGTACTAAAATAAAAAACAGCAGCCTGATGAGTTTTGAAGAGTTTCGTCTTAATCTTAATCTTCATCCTCTCAAACACAACGTTTTTTTTTTTTATGTCTGAGAAAAACAATTTTATAATCATGGTGCGGTCAAACAAAACCCAAACTGTGACCCAATGTTTCAGCATGAAACTTTCTTCAAACTAAAAAAAGAACTAAGAGCAAACAAAACTAACAATGGCAGTCAACAGAAGTTTGCAAAAACAAAATGCTCAACAATTTAAATAAGTAATTGAGACAAATAAATGGAGATTATGTGGAGGGAGGTGTTCAGAAAAACCCTCCTGTCGGTTGAGATTTCTAATCTTATCAAAATGAAGGAGTAAAACATTTCAGATTCCAAAATACGTTCCTATATTTTTATGAAATT